GCCGCGGCTCGCATCGTCTCGTTCGTCGTTTAAATACGTTATAAAAACGAAAAACCCCTCTTTTTTTATTGTCTTTTATTGTCGATATCTACGTAAAAATGTCTCATCTTTCGATCTAGACTATCAAAAAAATTCCAAAAGTTGAAGATCATGGAGATAAAACGTGTTTTTTGAACATGTGCATTTTTTGAGGTTATGGGAGCAAATTTTTGAAAAACTAATGCCACCACTGGAAAGCTGAGGAAAATATACGTATGAATATGTTTTTAGATAATTTTTTTATCAAAGTTTCGACACCGAAATGACGAGTTGAAAACGTTGTGTTTGACGCCCGCGCGGGCCGTCCACCACGGCGCTAGGACAGTTGACGTGATTCTTCCAATTTATGAAATTAAGTAAAACCAACCAGCTTGAGTAAGCTAGAAAAACTATGACTAGCTCACTTCCTAGTCTAAGAATAAAATAAAGATACTACATTAATGTAGAAAAAGGATTTTTTAGATTTATTCTAGTGTAGGGTGCTGTTTTACATAGTTTTTACTTGCATTAGAATGAATGAAATATTGTTTAATAACTTTAAAGTAGACATCAAATAGTCGGTAAGTAGGGTCACTCAACGATTAGTAACCTAACGATTAGAGCTATGGTCAACATAAAAAATAATACCATCTTTATTTTATCGTAAATGATAGTTTATGTAACAATGATATGTATAATTATAAATTTCAACCTTATTATTATAAACATTTTTAGATACAAAAGGTCAAACATAATTTTAATTTATTGCGGGGCCTTTCAGTTAAAAGTTTTTCTAACTTCACGTGAGGGGACCATTGCCATATAATATTGTTGGAAAATTCAGACTATATATTATAAGAAACTGAAATATACAGTAAACTTTGCTCTGCAATACAGCATAACCAAAGAATAATAATTTTATGCTTTTCTCCAAGACTTCAGAAATCGGTGAATTTGGAGAGCCATCAAAGGGGTAAATAATGAATGCCAGTCAGAGAATTTTGAAACTGTAACTAAAAAGCAATACACTGACGTTTTCAAGAACAATATTTTACCTGCAAAATGAAGTCCTCACATAATGCGTACGTAGTTACGAAGTTTGACCGAAATAGTACTTACTTTTCAGGACAAAAGTTGATCTGGAAAAATGTGATCACAATTTCAATTTTCCACATTCTCGCTATCTACAGTTTCATTACGTTTCCTTACCTGAGTTGTTGGAAAACAGCTGTATGGGGTAAGTTGTCTTGGTGCATATCTAAAAATTTTACTATTTTCTTTACACAAATTGGAAAAACTAGTATATAAGGGAACGGGGAAATAAGGATACAATGGTGTTGGAAAAAATTGTCAACATGTTGCCAGAGTCCTGACAGGGTATCTATACTTATGAATACCAGGACTCAGTCACGTTGACAAGGTTTACTTTGGTAAAGCAGAAGAGAAATACTTAGCTATTGAATCAGACAAATCAGGAGCACAGGCAAATAGCGATACTTGAATAGTCACTTGTGTAAGTAATATCCGAGGTACTAACCACGCTAAGCGCTACGTTGCTTAGCTTCACTGATTGACAAAGCTACCACTCTACCGCTATGCCACCGTTATGATTCATTAAGTTGAAGTGAAGTTAAAGACATCATAACATGTATACTAGGATGTATAGCACCTGAACATAATATTACATACTGTCTTTTTTCGGTCCTGATAGAAATAACGTTTAATAGAATCTTTTGATAGAGAAAACAGTTTTTCTGGGCTAGTTGGCCATACGTCAATATATTGATATGCTCACATAATGTAACAAATAAAATTTTTTTAAATTAATTTACAGAATGTTTATAATTTTTTTCAGTATGGTTTATGTCAGCCTTAACTCTTAATTATCAAGGAAAATATCAACAACACATACAAAACATAATTAAAGCATGTAGACAACAGACTACAAACACTCTATCAATTTTACACATGTAGGCCACTAGTGTTAAGCGATTTATAATAGTAAATAGAACTTTTTTCGAAAGACAACCTTCATAAGCTATAAAAATAATTTTTTTTTTAATAAACTTCATGACAAATGATAGAGAATGATAATTATAGACAAAGATATTTGTCTCATGCTGATTTGTAGGTATTACTGAACTGATTTACTTTAGCCCTACTTGATTAGATATCATTTATTAATACAAACCAGAAAAATAAGAGATGCTTTAGTCTTGAAAGATTGATGAAATATGTATCAGGGTATAATTTGTGGCTGAAATTTGAAATTAATTTTATTAATAACTCAAAGTTTATGAATTGATTGAGCTCAACTTGAAAGCCTAATTGCCTTTGTACACTCGTCATTTAAAGAAGATTGTGAATAAAGAAAAAATTGATGCACAGAAAAAAAATTTATCAAAATAAAAAAATTATCGTTATTTGAAACGGATCATTAACATGAACTGAATGCAAACATCCACAATGTTCTGAACATTAAGAATATTATATTTTTATTTTCAGTTTTGTAGGCAACTTTTCAATATGATATTGTGTAATAACAATTTATGTTTTACATAAGTTAAAGAAAAAATGCATTAATTTTTATAGTTTTTAGTTTTAATCAAAATACAAAACTAGGTCAACATATGTTTTGGTTAGCATCATTATGTCAAGTAAAATAATTGTTGCTCTGATATTATCTAATCTTATTTTTTCTGGACACGTTTAACATACTTATTATTATTAAAATATAAGTTTTTAATACTGAAACGAGTACTGAAACTAGCATATAGTACCATTAACAGTTAAAACAAAGAAAAGTAGTGTAAATATGTTCAAAACAGTTATTTGTTAAAAACGTATCCCAATGTTACCCAAACAGTTATTATTATTTTTGTTCAGTACCTTAAGTGATATAAAAAAAATATTAGAAGATTATTAAAAATCAAAGTACAATAGTTTCGTGTTGGAGAGTTCTTTTTTTTTAATTAATGTTAAAAAATGCAGTTCAAAAAAATTGTAACTTTGTTGACACTATTCTAAAGATAAGAATTAATAATAAGTAATACATTAATAATAGATTTATAAATTTGATATAATGACGAAATAAACAAGCCCTGTATAGACACTTATTAATAACGTTTATAGTTTGATTTTTAACTAAACATGAAAGGCTTTTTTTAATAAGCAAACAGAATACCTTGACCACTGATAAATACTTAACAAATACTTTTGCCTGCTTAGGGTTATAAAACAATTCTTTTCTTAAGCTTCCATGACTCTAGCTTTTTTTTTTATTTAAAAATTGTATTTAAAATTTAAAAAAAAATTTTTCGTTTGAATAATTTTTGTGTTATTTAAATAAATAATATATGAAGTATAGTTAATGAGGATGACAGAGAACTCGTTCTACAATACTTTTAAAACAGTGTAAAAAGAAAAAATATTTTATTACCTGTCTTTGATTGGTTCAAAACAAAGTCTGATTCTTAAATTTTCTTTCATGGAAAAGCGAATGATTAATGTTCTGTTTATCTTAATTGGGAAAAACTTCAAGGTTTAACTCTCTATCGATTAATAAGTCTTTTTAAATGCACAGTTATCTATTAGAAAATATTTTCACCGTTACTCATAGTTTCTGCAGCCTAACACATACCTACACACATTCAATATGCAGAACACTTACTGCCCACCCAAAGAATGGTACATAACGCCACTAGGACACAAAGTAAAAACATGAGCACCCGAAAGGTGCGCTTGTTGTAGGTTGGTGCTCCAGTTGTGTATAATGTTTTTCTTACCGAAGGCGCAAAATAAAATTTTGTGCCTGGAGGTACACTTTGTGCCTAGTAAATTACTTTGGGCCCTAGGGCAAAAAAGTACTTCGGGCTTAGGGGGGCCAGAAAACTTTTCCACCCATGGGCCAAAAGTCATTACTAGAGCGAAAAGTATGACCCGAGGATACAAAGCGGCAGTTGTACTTTGGGCCCATGGTAAGAAAGAGGTCTTTCAGAAACATTTTGGTCAAAATAGTAGTTTTCATACGAGTTTAAAAAGTCTTTGTTTGCGAACCGAGAGGTTTGCGGCCCGAGCCGAAGGCGAGGTCCGTAACGAGGTTCGTAAAGGAGACTTTTCGAACGAGTATCGGAAAACTGCTTTTTTGCCCGAGGAAGTACCAGCCTCCCAAAACCACCCGAGGGCGGAAATGGTACATTATGTTACTAGGGCACGAAGTACAAACATGGGCACCCGAAGGGTGCGATTGTTGTATGGTGGCGCCCGAGTCGGGTATAATGTTCTTCTTCCCGAGGGATCAAAGTGCAATTTTCCACCCGTAGGCACACTTTAAGCCTGGTAAATAACTTTGGGACCTAGGGCAGAAATGTACTTTCAACTTTTATAAAAATGTTGGTAAAATTTGGGATCTGATGCTGAGAAAAAAAAGTACATAACATCGTCATTACAAAACTCACCTTTTTTGAAAGTGGAAGGTTCTGAAAGTTCGATGAGTTTGGTGTAAATTAAATATAAGCCAAGAATACAGAAATCATAACCCAATACAATGCTATATGATACAGTAGTCATTTCAAAAGCAACAACTATACTGGTAGTACTAGTTGCCTTTTTAAAGATGTATAATACTTTGTCTTTAACAAAACTGAAGATCTCAAAAGTATTGACGTTATCAAAAAAGTGGTTTTGTTTAAACATTGTTATAAATCTTAATAACAATTATTGCAACGTTTAAACAAAATAAATATTTTATAACAGGAAAAAGTTTAAAATCTTGCAAAATTATAAAATTAGTATGACTTGCTGGTTCAGTATCATACTGTTTTTGACGAGTAATATAAACTGTGAAAAATAACGTTTACGTTTAAAAGAAGCTTATAAGCTGTTTAATTGTACACGCAGACATGTTAAAAATATTCGTTTTGTGAAAAAATAACAGTGGTTACATCAGCAATGACATATGTCACATTTTAAGTTTTGTAGGTGAATTATACAAGTCAAAGTATGAAATAACTTGTTGATAGACCGTAGTAATTGAATGTATTTACGACCTTGCTTCGTTAGAATAAAAAACATTTTATTGCCTACAGCATAAACACTTGAATACTTTAAAGAAATACTTGAAGGATACACAAAATATTTTCACTAAAGAAGATAAGTAAACAGATAACAAAACTATCAAGACAATTAGTTTCTAAGTTATTTCATGTAAGAAAATTAAACACAGATTTTATTTCTAAACTAAATTTTAATTGTTTGCCACATAACATTATAAGGCCAGCCTTAAATATTTTACAGATGTAATAGTTTTGTAAAATATAAACATAATTTTTTCTGTAACTAGATATTGACATTGTCTCAGGGTTGCAATACTTCTGTTATGAAAGGGAGATAGCGATTAGTATCAAATTGAAGGTTCAATTATATCTAATTGAACCTGAGATTGTATAAAATGTCCTTAAGTTAGTTGTAAAATTAGATGACAAACTAACTTTTGGCTAGCGTCGCAAGCCCTTCGAGGCTTGTTGTGATAGAAATCAAGAATAGTGTATGAAAACTAGAATTTTTTTTGTGAATCTCGTTACTTATATAATAATTATAAACCTTAAATTACTGTTCTATTTAAAAAAGGCTGGTTTGGCTTATTATATCTTACATTTGAACTTTCCCATATTTTAGTGAACTCCTTAAAAAACCTAAAATTTGTATTTAAAATAAAATATTGAGATCCTTAGCATTTTTGGCTATTAGTTTTGGACATCTTCGTCATTGATACGAAACCAATGGTAATATTAACGTAATATATTTGTATGATGACCTTTTGATATACAATCGTGATAAACTACCTTGTTTATGACCTTATACTTTTTATTATTTATGTCTACTCAACATGCTGGTCATGCATTTGGTATTTTATAATTAATCATTCTTATAGTACCTTCATCTGTCCTTCTCTTTACTATTAACTGTATAACTATTGTAGTATTACTAATTGATAAATCTACCTTCTTAATTTTTTTAATTGACATGTAGTTTTACCATATTTCATTTCTCGTCATTTTACAATATTATTATCTATAATTTTTGAAATAGTCACCGTTAAAATAGATGTTTTATTATGGTTTTTACTCATTACAACCAGAATATCTGATTATTACGTTTCGCTAAGACTCTCAGCAAAAATTAAGCAAATTTGTAACCGATGCTTGCTAAAATTTTAATTATCCATCCTTTAGTAAA